GAGGGATTGCTGTCCGTAACCTAAATGTTAGGGTAAATTAGCAAACAACCCTAACATTCTCGAAATAACCAGAACAACATTGCTTTTTTTAAAAACCCCATTTTACCCTTGAGACGCTTTGATGACAAAAAAACGTATTTACGAAAATGCCATTACTTTTTTTTTTCCCACGTCAGCAGTACAAATCACGCGTCGAGAATTAAGTCTACCATCCTTTATAATAGATTTAAATTTTCTGATAGATTTATGTAAAAATTGGTAGACATAATTTTTCGATGATAGATTTTTCCCGATGTTGGTAGACTTGTTAAATGTTGGTAGACTTATGTTGATAGACTTATTTTAATCGTTTGGTAGAGTTAATTTTGTTGATAAACATATTTGATTGTTGATAGACTTGCTTGTCTTCAAAGTAGATTTATTTTCGTGTTGGTAGATTTAGTGAGTCTAAGTTGACTTTTCGAAGTTCTATTGACCAGAATTGGTAGACTTGTTACATCTAATGATAGACTTGTTTATCCTGAAGATAGACTTATATGAGAAGATATTATATCTACTACAGTGTTATTTTTTTCGTTATGATAGTGTTGTTTTATTCATGGTAGACTTACTTAAAAATAGTAGACTTATTATGGAGAAGTAGACTTATTTTCAGTTAGGTAGACTTAAAATTCAGTAAGAGGTTTAGATGTGTGATAGATATATTTGAGTAAGTAATAGATATATTTGATATCGATAGACATATTGGCCAAAAATAGATATATTTCACCCTTATAATAGACATATCCTTCTTTTGGGAACATCGATGTTGGTAGACTTATTGAAATGTTGATAGACATATTGAAAATTGATAGAGATCTATACTTTACAGAAGGGTAGACTTAATAATGTGAAATGACAACTTTGTCCAGCAGTTATTATCGAATTTGTTGTCCCAATCACCGCATCCAACTATACTAGGGTAGACGCCGCCATCCTCTCTTTGCCTCTTTTGCTGTTTTTTTCTTTGTACTTCATCCTCTATCATGTCTTCTTCATGCATGGTCGAGATTTTTTTAGTATGTGGGAAGTGAGAATTCGCTAAAACTCGATATTTGTTTTTGGTTGATAAGAGCAAAGGATGTCGAGTTGTAACTGTTGATCGGGAAATCGAGTATGGAGATTTTTGACAAGTCGTCTACGAAGATCTGGGTTCAGATCAGCGCTGTTTTGATATTCAATTCAGCTATATGTGAATAGCAAAACTCAAAAATCTCATACGTGATACAAGTCTATCATATACAACAATACAAGTCTATCATATACAACGATACAAGTCTACCATATCTAAACCTATCCGAATAGCAAAACTCAAAAATCCCATATGTGATACAAGTCTATCATATACAACGATACAAGTACACATCATCGCCAATAGCCTCCTTCAACTTCCTGAATTCAGTCAGGTGGGCGCCATAATTGAAGCTATGCTCCTGCAAAGGTGACTTTCTTGGCTGAAACATTCTTGGTGGATAATCATTTGAATCACTGGAAGAAGCCATCTGTGGAAATAAGAGATTTTTAAAAAAGTCTGTGATACATTACCAAACAAGTCTATCATATACACCAACAAATCTATCATACATACAATATATATCACAAACAACTCTACCATATAATTAAAGTAAACAAGGCAACTTAAAACCAAAATAAAACAACTCTACCATTCGGTTTTCACAAACGTGAAACAAATCTACCATTGGGTTTTAACATACATGAAACATGAAACAACTCTATCATTCATTTATATCAACGAACCTCAAAAATTAGAAACGAACCTATCCGAATAGCAAAACTCAAAAATCCCATATGTGATACAAGTCTATCATATACAACGATACAAATCTATCAAATATAATATATATCATATACTGCAAAAACAAGTCTACCAAACCCATCACTTAACAAAAATAGATATATCGACTAAGTTTATAAAAACTCACCTGTAACCCTTCGACAATCCACCGTCGGAACCACCGCCGAACACCTGTTTCCTGCAACACCCAAAAAAATAGGGTTACAGATTTCCTCACCGCCGTAGGTCCGTTCCCGCCTGTATGATGTCGCTGACAGCCGCAAAGACGGAGAACAGTGACGGAGGCAAAGACCGCGAAAAAAATAACGAAATATAAATGAAAACAAAAAAAACGACTTACCAGAGATGACAAAAGCATTGGTAAGAACGACGGAGGATAGAAGACAAACTAAAACACCGAGGATCTGTAGATTCTTCGTCATCGTCGGAGAAGAAGGAGGAGCAAAGAGTCGAAATCGCCTCTAGGGTTTTTTCGGGGAGGGAAATAAACTGAAATAACGGTTTATTTTTCATCCCTCAATTAAATCCTATTTTCCAAATTTTGATTTTTTTGTATTTTTGATATATTTATGTATATATATAGGTCTCATATATTATACATTTATGTATATATTTATGTATCAATTAAATCCTATTTTTCAAATTTTGATTTTTTTTTGTATTTTGATATATTTATGTATATATATTATATATTAATGTATATAGGTCTCATGTATATTGTATATCTGTGTATAATTATGTATTTACGAAATTTAAAAAAAATCAACAAAAACAGTTTTTTTTATGTAAAGGACTTTAGTGTCTTTTTTCTGCTGGTAAAGTTAGTGTAACAAAAATGTAACGAACTAGGTTATGATCATTTTGTAAAGTCATTCTAGTCAATATTCTCTTTTCTCTATTTCCACTTCAAAGAGCTCACCAATTAAAGGTCTGTATAGACTCACCCCATTTTTAAGAGCTCATGACCCAAACTTTCTATCTGTTTTCTGATCTGATCTTTATATTCTTTATTCGTTTTATTTTATAGGAGACTTGCCCTTCCTTAAACAGTTACACTTACGTTGAGGTTGAGTCTTTAATATGATCAAGATTTTTGAGTCTTTAATATGGTCAAGATTTTGACAAATTTACAATCGTTTTTCTTTATTCGAACAACTGAATTTCATTCATAGGAGAAAGATCATACATCATACAAAGATACAATCCGGGGTGCCATCGAAACTAGTTTCATCCCTTCAACGGGACAACTATTTACAGTCGATTTTATTTTGATAACTTTTTTTCCTTGTGAAATATAACTGAAATAACACAAAAGAACAGAGGGTTATTTATAGAATTTAATGCTTTTGCGAAGTAGGCATTGCAAGAGATACGGAAGTTGGAATATCCTTCCACTGCTGTGTCACAGTCTTGATCTGAGTGAAAAAGTCTACTCCTGCTTTGCCTGCAACAATTCCATTTGGGTATAAGCAAATAGAAAAACTGAATAAATCTTATATCTTATAAGTTGTGACAAACTCTTTACCGTAGAAGTTTAGATCTCCTGCAAATGAGGCTTTATTCCCAGTGAATGAGAAGAACGGTAATGGAACCGGGATCGGAACATTAATACCAATCTGAGTAAGATTCGCAACAATCAACTATGTCAAAATGTAAACAAAACAAAAAATAAAGTTTGTGTTTTATAGGTTCAAAGTTAGTTTTTTATACCTGTCCGGCTTCTATTTCCATTTGGAACTTTCTAGCCGCTGCGCCTGATGTAGTGAAAATAGCAGCACCGTTTCCGTATCTGTTGAAGGCGGAAATAGCAGATTGTTAAAAAAGATGAGATGGATTATATTAGTAAATGTGAATGAGATTAAAAAAAAAAGAGTGTTTACTTGTTTCTATTTATTATGTCTATGGCCTCGTCAAAGCTGTTTGCCTGTACATGAATATGTCATTAAGGCATCAGAGCGCGTAAATCACACAAACATGGGAAGGATAAAAAACCGAATAACTGTTTGAAATAAAAGTAGATGTTTTTCCAATCTAACCTCCATGCATACAAGAACAGGGCCAAATATTTCCTCCTGCAACGTGCCAAAAGAAATGTAAGTTTCACTTAGAAAACAGTCATTTGCTTATAATACCAGAATAATACCTTGTAACACTCCATGTCGGGTGTAACGCCAGATAAAATGGTAGGACCAATAAAATTCCCTTTCTCGTATCCTGGAACCTGTTTGTTACGAGCAAAGATATATAAACTTCTCCGGCCAGTAGAACGTTGGTTTCAAAGATTACAGAAAGATCATTAATGCAACAATATCACTCCATCATAGCTAGATCAAGAGATTTCAGTGATCCGTGATTACAATTTCATAAGAATGTGGCGAATAGTGTTATATTAAAGACGTGTGAGTCTGTTGCAATAGCAGTATTTATAGATATTCGGAAAATACCACAATATTTCTTCCGTCAAGCAGTAATTTAGCACCATCGTCCACACCAGATTGAATCAAGCGGCATATCCGTTCTTTGGCCTAGCCATATAAAATTTAGCAAATCTATTAAACAATAGACCAAATGCAAAACTAAATGTGATTGTGACACACATAAGTTTAGCAGTAGTCATGACTTGTAGCAGAGGTTTGAGCGCCAAAATACCTCTTTACTAATCACAGGACCTAGGTCTGCATCTTGTTCTGTCCCACATGTGACTTTAAGGGCTTTCGCTCGCTCGATGAGTTTATCCTCCCTAGTTAGTATTAAACAAGTTGAAGCTCATTGTTCGATACTATCAAATGAAATTCAACGAGCCTCGCACAGAACAACAACTAGTCAATCTAAACTACTAATAGAAAGAAGTGTTGTCGCAGACAATCTTATTTATGGTTTATGCACCTTAAAGGTTGTGGATCTCGGAAACCACACGAGGAAAAAGATTACAGTCAAGCGATCATGAATATTTGATATTCCAGAAGGTTACACCCTAAAGACTTGGAGTAGTTTGAATATGGAGAAAAGAAAGTTAACAATACCATGATTTTGAATTGCCAACAAAGACCACAGTACTCAGTGCCATGCATCTCTGTCCAGCGGCACCAAACCCAGCAGCAAGTAGCGCATTTAAAGTAGCATCGACGTTGGCATCAGGCAAGACAACACCATGATTTTTCGCCCCCATATTTGACTGAGCAGATATTTTTTAAGTAAATTGACAAAGAGTCGTTTTGACATGCTAAGGAAGATTTTTACAGGAGATCAAATGCAAGATGTTACCTGAATACGTTTTCCTTTCGCTGCTGCTCTTGCATATATATGCATTCCAGCCTTTAACAAAACAATTTATTTCAGAAAACACAGTTAAAACAAAAAAATTGAGCCCAGAAGACGAGCAAAATCTGTAAAGGAGAATAGTATGTTAAAGTCTTATCAGACGGCTGAACTAGTTACACAGAAAACCGGCTAGATGAAAATTTCGTAAATGTTAATTCATCATAACTAGGTGAAACGCAAAACCCAAGTCGCAGGCTATAAAAGAGTAACAACAAAATATATACTTACAGTGTTCGACCCAACAAAAGAAACAGCCCTTATATCGTCATCATCACAGATAGCATTCACAGTATCCTGTCATGTGAAGGATGCATTATTACAGAAGACAAAGAATGTGAAGGTAATAGTGCGGAATCTTTACTGTTTAAATTTTCGGATAGTTTGAGGGGAATGTAATTTGCAAACATATTATCTCCCAAGGAAAAGCCATTCTTCAGCAATCAAATCCTTACGAATAGGAAATTTTGGTAAGAGCGAAAATTATAAACATGACCTACATTGGTGCCGTGAACGATATTGAGAACCCCATCAGGTAACCCAGCTTCCATTGCCAACTCTGCAAGTATTACAGAAGCACCTGGAGAAAGCAAGTAACATTAATAACCGGTTTCACAGATAACGTACAACTTTTCTTTTCATTGCGATAGTGGTCAACATTAAACCCATATTGCAGGTGGTAAAGTATAACATTTTGAAAATGTGATATAGCTAAGAGCATTCAGCTCATTACATTGGCCTTGGTAGTAAGATGTATGTACACTGACATCAACGACATGTTAAGACATGATGAGAAAGTCTAAATATCTTGTACTACGCACATAACACTTAAAAACCTCACACGGAGCGTCCTTTAGTTACTGAAATAGTTTCAAGGAATAAGGGTAAAAGAAATGAGTAGTTTACCGGGATCCTTCTCTGATGGCTTAAGAACAAACGTATTTCCACATGTCACTGCAACGGGAAACATCTGCAATAACAAACACAGAATAAATACACAGACTTCACAGAAAATGATCACCAAGACTTAAGGATATACATACGTATTATACAGCGAACATTTAACGAAGCCACTAATATCTGCAAAATGGCTTAAGCAATGTTACCCATAAAGGAATCATTGCTGGAAAGTTGAAGGGACAAATGCCAGCACAAACACCTAATGGCTCCCTAAGACTATATGTATCAACTCCATTAGACACATTGGGAACATATTCACCCATCTGTAATGTAGCCATTCCACAAGCATGCTCCACAACCTCTGCGTAACACCAAAAAAGGTAATCAGTATAGTTCTGCTCTGCTTGTCAATCATATAATCGAAACCAACAATAAAACTAACCTAGTCCACGGAAGATATCGCCATGTGCATCCTTTAAGGTCTTCCCTTGCTCAGTCGTGATGTTCATTGCAAGTTTATCCTAAATTATGATCAAATTTTTTCGGTCAAAGATATGTTTCAAGAGCAAAACAAGCTCAGCCAATTACAGTAGTTACCATGTTTTTGCGTATAAGCTCTTGAAACTTTAGCATAACACGTTGACGAGTGGTAATCGGCGTGTTTCTCCATGAAGGATATGCTTGCTTCGCAGCAGATACTGCCGCCTTAAACTCTTCGTTAGTTGTCAATGGAACTTGAGAAACAACCTCTTGTGTAGCCTAAAGCAAAATCAAAACTTTTCGTAACAAAACCATCCAAAAGTCTAGAATACAAAATGTATAGGCGAAGATTAATAAGAGAGCTTACAGGGTTTATAACATCGAGATATGATGAAGCTTGAGAATCAACAAAAGACCCTCCAATAAGATTTTGCACTTTCTGAAACGGAATTACATCAATTCAAAAATTTTAAGAACAATATCATTCCGAACAACTGATTCCTAAAATCTGAGGCGATTGTGAAATCTCGTCAATAAACTCACCGGAGGTTTTGTTTGATGAGTAGATGGCTCCGGCGACATTGATAACCAACAGCTTCTAATACCGAGAAATTGAGGTCTCAAAGTCCTGAGATTGTTCTTCCCTGCAAACGCCAAAAGACTAGCATCGATCGTATCGAAAGTCTACAGATTTAGAAAACGAGTAGACAAAGAGAATCCAGATTTCTTGCCTTGCTGGATAGAAATTCGGAGCAACATCGTTTTGATTTGTTTGTTGATTTTGGTGTCGTCTGAGTTTCTTCCCTTTTATGCAAGTTTTGGATTTGAGTGCTGAGTGAGTGCTGACTCGAAGTTAGATATACGATCATGCTCATCTTTAATTGCAACGTGATTCGATATAGACCGTTAGATCAAAAAATATGCAATATTCTTTAGTTTGACAGTAAGACGAGATTTTTTTTTTTCCTTTTTGTATTACATACTTTAGAAACATTTTGTTTCAGGAAGAAATGAGGAGATTGTGAGAAATGTTGTGCATATATATTGTCATTTGCTTTTATTTACACTCCTTTGACCATTTATTTTCATATTAAGAAAAGATTATATCTTTATCAACTTATTATACATGATAGTTGTAATGAAGAGAAAACTAGAGAAATTCGATATTTATTAAATAAAACTGAGTGAGTTTTGCAAGAGTTTAATGTTGGACCAAAATTTTATAAGTCAATATGACTTATTAAATTTTGAGTGTGAAAAGAAATAAGCTACATGAAAATATTGGTTTTATAATAAAATAGGAAATATTATTCGTTCCACATTAAAAGTTTGGGAAATTTTGGAATAGTATGTATATGAATAAAGATATAACTTAGTTCAAAGTGTATGTGTGAAAGATAAAGAAGAAGGTCTTCTTCTCTCATCTCTATCTTTCAGGGAGAGAGCTTTTTCTTCCGATTTCCTATTAGTTTTTTTGTTGTTTTATAATCTAATCGGATCAATACTTTCCGTTTATCGGATCAATAAATTCTGGTTATCGGATTTCTCCTTCCGTTTTAATCGGATAATAACTTCCAATTTTGGTCGGAATTCTTCCGGCTAAGTCCGGATTATCGATCTCTTTGCTGGCTGTTCTTTTCTCTTGTCGGAATAGCTGATATGCTTTTAAGTGTTGTTGCAGATTTCTAACTTGCTTGGAGTAATTTCTTCATCGTTTCACCTCTTGCCTGAATCAGGGCAAAGATGACCACAGTTCAGATCAGTAAATTGGATCTGTACAGCGATGAAGCTTCCTTGAAGTTTGGGATTTGTGTATAAAGCTTAGAAGCTGTTCTTATTTCCTGCAGCTTTTTTACTCCGACAACAATTATCCAGCTTTAGAGATCATTAGCAAAGGTACAACATCAATTGCAACAAAGAACAGAGTAGCTGGCGGCAAAGCTTCCCGCGGCGGAGAAGACAACATGAAATTTTACCGGCGGTGAGAATTTTCTGAAGACGTTAACTGTACTGAGTCGGTGACGTGGGCGGCGAAGCACACGAAGCATTTTCTTAAGCTTCCACGTTTTGTTTACACGTGTCTTTTATGCATAATGTTTATCTTTGTTGTATTCATGAGGTTTATTGGGCCAAATCTTGTTGTATCAAGCTATGCCCAGTTGGGCTTTTAATGAAAACGTTTGCCGATAAAAAAAAAAAGAAGAAGGAGGTCCATGCGCGCGCTGCCGCCGCTATTCAACTAAAAATTCAATTAAAAATTCAATTAAAAATTCAACTAAAAATTCAACTAAAAATTCTGCTGTGTATTTAACTCAGTCAAATTGATATTTATATATGCTTTGGTTATCCCCACAAAGAGACCAAATCTTCCAACGATCCTTCGATATCCACACACGTTCTCTGCTAGCTCTATCCAAGATTTTCTCCGAGTCTGCAGTGGCATATTCCTTCCTCCGCTATATATACTACTCCTCTCCATTAATTTTTTTCTCTCTAGCTCATTTCTTTTTTCTCTAAAGAAAAACTTCGCAACAATCTCTTTTTTTTCGTAAGCCTACTTCGAGAGTATAGTAAGAATATTAGTTCGTTTAGATCCATATTTCTTTAGTTCTTGTGAAAACAGATAAAGTTGTTTGTATCCTGCAAGTCTTAAAATCTAGAATCTCGATACACTATGGTGATTCAAAGAGTTAAGAAAAGAGATATCATCTCGCTTCTACTCGTGGTTCTCTTACCTTAACATTTACAGTGAAACCTCTATAAATTAATACTCTATAAATTAATAATCACTATAAAATAATAAATTTTGCAGGAACCAAGTCGGGTCAATGTAAAAATTCATCAAATTTGATAAGATAATAATTTTTTTTAAGTCCTTATGTAAATATATGATCCCAACAAAAAACATAAATTAATAATTGTATAAATTTATGCAAATATATGTAATATACTATACTAAAATATGATTAATGTATTTTATGGTCTATAAATTTTTTATAGATAAATTAATATCACGATAAATTAATAAATTTTTATGGTCCCAACATTATTAATTATAGAGGTTTTATCTATTCTAATATTTAATCGCTTTTAAGTTTAGATTTTATGTTTCTACATTCTTAAATCTTTGATATGTTCTTGTTAAACAAACATTAAACGAATTGGATACGAGGATTTATGTTTTTTTTTTCTCCGTCTCAAATTGTTTACCCACCTGCGATTGAACTCTCAGTGGAGGTCCGAATTTACAACGCACAATCATGATGTCTCTCCGATAGCGATTTGAGTTGTGACTCATTTAATATAGTATACATATTATATTAGAAATTATATAATTTAATTTCGTTTCTTATCTGCAGATTATGTTTCTTTTAAGAAATAGAAACAAAATTCAAGCGTCTTCACCATGACTACTGTTGCTGAGACTACCTCCATTGGGGCCAGAGATATGGCTGCTAACGTCTCCTCTGTTGTGACCTGTACTGTACAGATCCAGTTTGGATCTCTCCCAGCTGTGACTGTTGTTATCCTTGCTCCGATCTCTGCTACTGTTCAAACTGCGGTCACTCGACAGTATCAATCGGTTCAAATTCCAGCTGTGAATACAGCATGCGTCCTTCCCGACAAGTTCGATGGGACCAACTATAAGATGTGGCAAAAGAAGATTTGCTTCTATCATTACCTGTGAAGAGAGACTTTTCCTCCCAGCGGATAATGATGATGTTTATGCGCTTGCAAGCCATGCTAGCTTAAGCACACATAGATTTTCTGTGCAAATGATGCATCTAGAGTCGTTTAGCTGATGAACTGTTCAACATGTATAGCAATGTTGAAACGTCTAAACAACTCTGGGATTCTCTAGACAAGAAGTATCACACAGAAGATGATGGATCTCAGAAATACGCTGTGGCAAAATTTTAAGATTACAAAATGGTGGACTCGCAACTGATAATGAAGTAATTTGGAGAGCTATAGACTCTCCTATATGAAATTCATGTTGAGGGTATGAGGCTGTGTAGACAGTATAAGGCTGTGTGAAACCTATCAGGTTGCATGCATCATTGAGAAGCTCCTGCCTAACTAGACGGTCTTCAAAAAATACCTGAATATGAAGAAGAAGTGGATGAGTCTTGAAGACTTAACCATAAAGCTCCGTATGAAGTCAACAAACTGGAAAGCCATTAGAGTAGGTGTTGAAATTCGCGAATCCAATCTGAATGTGGTGGAACACCAAAACAAAGGGTGCCAAAACAAAAGACACCGAGACAATAGGAAAGGCAAAATCCTGCCACAGAACTCACAGAAGTTCAAAAATATGAAATCTGGTGGTGAGAGCTCGCAGAAGTTCACTAGAACGTGTCACAAGTGTGGCAAGACAGGCCATAAGTCCTTCGAGTGCTGCAACAAAAAGGCTCCAAAGAAAAATTAAGGTAAAAACGAAGCCGATCCCGCTGAACCAGACATGTGTGCAGTTGTCACTGAGGCTAACGTCGCTGAAATCCACCCCAAGACTTGGTGGTTAGATACTGGTGCAACCAGGCACAATTGCTTGACAGGTCAATGTTCTCTGAATACACAGAACAAGAATGACGAAAAACTCTTCATGGGATACTCGGCCACCTCAAAGATCCAAGGTTATGGAAAGGTTGTTCTAAAGCTTACCTCTAGATGTGAGCTCAACGTGAAGAACGTGGTCCACGTGCCGGACATGCGGAAGAATCTGATCTTTAGATCTATCCTAAGTAAGCATGGATTTACCGTTAAAGTTTGATGCTAAAAAAATCAAGGGTTACTTCTAGCTTCACGTTTTAAATTATACCCCTAAATATTTGCAAGTGCACAGATATGCGTTGTAGTATTTAGGGGTTGAACCACTAAGATTTTGAGCTTTCAGTACGAATCAATCAAAGACTTAAGACTAATAGAACAAACAAATGGGGGTTTTGGGTTTCGATGTTACTAAATCTAAAGGCTAAATGAAATAAACGGTTGTAACAATAGGAACTAAGCACTGGGTCAAAGGGGTTTTCACAGGGGTTCATGAACTGATTTAATGACAAACAAAACGATAAAGGTAATCAAATAGTGAGGATTCCAAACTCAAATAGGCGCAGGTATGACTAGCCAACTCTCGTCACACTAATCAACTAATCACTCAACTCGGCAATTAAATCTTGTTCTCATGCCGTGGTTAAGTTCATGCATTATTAAAAGAATTCATCCATGCTTACAAGTCTCTATAAGTAGCTTCTGTCTCCTATAGTGACTTGCTCGTATCACTTCTAGGTCAGGTAATCCGATACAACACTCTCACGGCTCCAATTACCTAAGATCAGTTTCTTAGTGGCAAGCAACAAAAACATCATAGAGAACAAGAATGAATGAAGGACTCCTAGAAGATTATGAACCCTAAATCTAAGATGAAATTCTCTTTGAAAAATCCCTTAAAAACCCAACTGGGGAAGTACTCAGGCATAGCTGAGTTCAACATCACAAAAGTGTTTAGAACTGTAGAGAATTGAAAATAAACAAAGGTAAGAAACGAAGAAGAGGATGAAGAAGGAGGGCCGATGGTGCCCCTCTTGGTGGCTCCTCTTCACGTGCGATGGCTCTCTCTAGGAATCTTGACAAAAATACGGCACACCCTCCTAAAAAAATTAGAAGAGGTATATATAGTGTCTTGAGTCTTCAGGAACGTCTAGGGTTTACAGGAATAATGACAGTAATGACATGGGCTTTAAAATGGGCTTCCGAGTCTCGAAAATAGGCTCTCCGCGGTCTATAATGTCGCACCCACGGTGGATGATGCTTTGGCAGCGGGTCAGCTTCTGGTTGTGTTGATTCGCC